ATACACAAACAAACACACACACACACACACATACACAAACAAACACATTTTACAGATCATAGAACACAAGTATAGATGGATAATATAAACGTTCTATAAACAGAAAACCTACAATCTCCCTCACTCGTGTGTAAGAATTGTCTTGAACTAACACGTCCTGTTTCGTTGCCAGGGAACCCACGACAACAATAGACATGGAGCTGTTGTTCAGGGGAGAGGTTCCAGTGAAGAAAGTTCTAGAGATGAGTCAGATGTTGGAACGTGTTCACATTCCTTACATGGGCACAAACTACAGTGTCAGCGCAGTGGACTCGGGAGATGGTGAGTGGGCTCTCTAGATCTCTTTCTGCCGTGATCAAAAGGTGACTAGGTAGTTAGTTTGGTGTGAAAGGCCATTGGCTCACGTTAGGTAAAACATATACAATGTATTAAGTTACGAGAGATCGCATATTACTGTAAGTTACATACATACCTTTGACATGTTTATAACGTTGTGTTATTATCTTAGTAAAATTGTACAGAGATGGATTTTGAACAGAGCAAGAGAGAGGAAGACAAAAGAGAGGGAGAGATAAAGAAAGAAAGGCAGAGAGAGAGAGAGAGAGAGAGCGTGAGAGAGAGAGAGAGAGCGAGAGAGAGAGCGAGAGAGAGAGAGAGATAGCAGAGAGAGAAAGCGAGAAAGAGAGAGAGATAGCAGAGAGAGAGAAAGATAGAGAGGAGGTGGGAAGGAGTGAGAGGGAGAAAAACTGAGAAAGATAGAGAAAGATTGGGGGGGGGGTAGTTTTCATACCGTCTTTTTAAAAATAAAATGTTGGTTTAAAAATGTTTAATAGAGAGACAGAGACAGAGAGAGAGAGAGAGAGAGAGAGAGAGAGCGAGAGAGAGAGCGAGAGAGAGAGAGAGATGGCAGGGAGAGAGAGATTGAATGAAAGAGTGAGTGAAAATGGGAAGAGAACGAGAGAATTTGAGACAGACAGAAAGAGACACACACAGAGACAGGAAGAGAGAGAGAGAGAGAGAGTGTGTGTGCTGGAACCATATTCTTTGAATCATTGTAAAGTGACCTAGGACCAATCATATTGTCCCCCTTCTCTCTTTAACCAATCACAGATGAGAACTGCCCCTCCAAACCCTGCTCCAGTGGCTCCCTCTGTGTGACGTCACTGGGTGGTCAGCGCAAATGTCAGTGTCCCATGGACAAGGGAGGCGACTACTGTGAGAACGATGGTAGGTCAGAGATGGTGGTCAGTTTCTCTATTTGGTTCTGTAGACCTTTTTGTTTTAACGTTATTGTTTGAATATCTCTTTACAAAGTGGTAAGAAGTTGGGGGGGATGAAGGCAACGCTAGAGGATTAAAACTGAACTTGGAAGCAAATTTTTAGCATTTTGATAACTAGATCTACTTTAGAGCTCTCTGCAAAGAAGCGCGTGTTGGTGCAGGCCTTGTGTGGATTCAGGATCCATGTTGCCTTGTTATTGAACTAAAGTGTTCGCGTTTCATTGGATGGGGTGATTGTAATTTATATCTATATTTTATTAGCTTTCTGTGCAAGATTGGCAGATTTTCAGTGTCACTGCATCTTGCGCCGCCCCCCAGTTCTTACACCTCTCACACTGAATAGGTGTACTTGAGCCATTCTAGTTATTACTCTACTTT